CGGATGTGAGAGGGGTATATTTTAGGACATAGGCACAGTTGGCATTCAAGATAATTTAAATATAGGCGGGTTTCCCTCATTTCTTATGGGCATCAGAAACTGCACACACGTCTGCCTCCCCTGCACAGAGTAAGAGCAGTGTTACCTGGAAAGCCTCAGTACCAGAACGGTGTGGTAGCAAAAGATGCTGCCGCATGTTCTGTTTTACAGCCGAATTTCTGCTTTATGACAGTGTAAATCTGCCCTGGATCTAATAAGGAAGAGTAACTCAAGCTTTACAGAGATTAGAATTCGTCTAACAATTTCCTCCCGGGGTCAATACGTCAAATAAGTGCCATTAAATATTTCTACAGCGCCGGCATCCGAGGGCTGATGCGGTGCCCTTGTGCCAGCCGGCACGTGCACTTCCAGAAAATGACATTTCTTCCCCGCCACACGCACTGTCACCAGCTCTGTCCCTGCAGACAGACCCCACGCAGGAGCTCCAGCCTCTCGCCAGGCTCCAGCCCTGCTCCCACTGCTGTGGGGAGGAGGACTCCCTCCCGGCGCTGCCACAGCGGAGCTTTCAAGCGAGCCATGAGTTTCCATCCTCAACCACTGGCTGATTTACAAAACCAGGAGCCTTCAGAGCTGGGAATCCTCCAGGTTCCTCCACTTTTCCACCCTGGCTCCTGCAGTGAAGCCACCTCTGCCATCCCCCTGCTGAGCCAAGCTCCCGGCTGGACTTTTGCCCACAGGGAAGCCCCGTGGGTGGGAGGAACCTGCCTCTCCTCCTGCCTCCGCAGCAGCCGCGCTCTCGGGGAGGAACTTTTTGGGGTGAAAAGGGCTGTAGGGGAGGGTTGGTGGCCCGAGCAGCCAACAGGACCTCACTGGGGTCTGCCAGCCAGGGCTCGGGCACAGGAGAGGAGCCGAGCCCCCGCGGGCTGTCGGGAGGATGCTGCTCTTGGTGCTGCTGGTGGCCCAGTGACACAGCCCCGGCCTGTCCCCAGCGGGCACAACGGCCCCTTTCAGTCCTGCTCCGGGAAGGAAAAGGTCAGGGAGCTGCTTCTGTGTGCAAGCCCTGCACAAGCAGCACAGGACCAGGCCAAGCATCTCCCCAGGGGACTCTGGGGAGCAGAGGGAAAGCAGGGCCACCATCGCCCCGCTGTCCCCGAGCCCGGGCTCCTTTGGCCGGGCTGTTTCCCTGCAAGTCACACTCTTGGCTCCGTGGCCTCAGCCGCAGGGAGAGAGGGGCCGGGAGGAGGGAGCCAGCAGGGTCTGTTTTCCCTCTGCGCTGCGCCAAGGAATGTGATTTGTGCGGACGGCGCATTCCAGCGCGGAGCAGCTCCCGCATGGCTGCGTCCTGCCCGGCCAGCAGCCGTCCTGGCAGGGTCACCACGTCCCCAGGGGAAGGAAGGGGCAGCTCCTGGCAGAGGGAGTGGAGTTTGGTGTGTGTGAGAGGGGGGTGTCACAAGGATTTGAGGGGCTGAAAACAGCCCACACGCGCAGCAACAACCGGGGATGTTGACAGTGAGAGATACACCCAGCCCTGGACACCACGCAGCTGGGACACCTTCATCTGGGATACAGCAGATCCCTCCCCTGGCCTTGGGCAAACAGGTTCTGGTGTCCACAAAACAGCTTACTTTAAAAAAAAAAAAAAAAAAAGCCTACAGAAAGCCATATTTCATGTGGTCATTGGACCAACTTGGAAAATTCCATGATGTTTGACACTTCTGGTAGCTACCACGGCACAACGCAGTTTGGTGTTCAGACTGAAGGGAGCCAAGGAGACACTCAGGAGAGCATCACCTGCAGGAGCGTGAGAGCTGAGGACAGGGAGGTACCACACTCACACATTCGTGTTACCCAGGAGTTGAAAAAAAGCAGGTCTGTGTTACTGAAAGCTGCAAAAGGAGGGACCTCTGGGGGCTGAGACCTCTCCAGAGCCAGAAGCATCTGGCACGGTGAGGGGGCAGCGTGATGGGAGGTGTTCCTCCTGCAGATCCTCCTCCCTCGGATAAACTCTGAACCAGCTCCACGACTCCCAGCAAACTTCAGACAGACACACGGCAGCCCGCTGGGAAAGGGGGGTGTGTGTGTGTGTGTGTGAAAAGTTACTAAAATAGAAATGCTCCACCAGGCTCCTAGAGCTGTGCCCACCCTCCGGCGGGTCCGGACCCCGCAGACCCAGTGCCCCCGGTGTGTGCCAGCTGTGATGGGGCACAAGGAGCGACGCAGCATCGCACGTGTCTGCCCAGGGAGGGAGGAATTCACTAACCCACGCTCCGGGGGTGGCGGGGGGGGAAAGTAATGAATGCAAATTCCTAGTTAGGTAAACAGATCTAGAGCAAGCTCGCTCTGGCACGGGGAACTAATATCCTGTTAAACCAGTTGAAAAGGTCACCAGCAATCAAGCGGCACTCCCTGGTGCCAGCGCTGACAGGGCACCAAGGCAGAGGGTGTCAAGCAGGGAGCTGGGGGGTCTGGGCAGCATCAACGTGCCAGAGTGTGAGCCGTGGCCAGCTGGGCACGCACGGCAGGGATCCCTCTGGCCACACAACACCTCTGCAGGAAAACAAACTGCCCTGGGCTCCAGGAAAGGAAGTGCAGGGACAGGACAAGGGGGAACGGTTTGAAATTGGAAGAGGGGAGATTGAGATGAGATACCAGAAAGAAATTCTTTGCTGAAGGGGTTGAGGCACTGGGACAGGTTGCCCAGAGAAGCTGTTGGTGCCCCATCCCTGGAGGGGTTCAAGGGCAGGTTGGAGGGGGCTTGGAGCAACCTGGTCTGGTGGGAGGTGTCCCTGCCCAGGGCAGGGGGTGGCATTGGATGATCTTTAAGATCCTTTCCAACCCAAACCATTCTATGACAATGCTGCTGCCAATTGCTTGCAATGAAATATAACAACATACTCGTGCTCCTGAGACCCCACCTGGAGCTCTGTGTCCAGCTCTGAAGTCCTCAGCACAGGAAGGACATGGACCTGTTGGAACGGGTCCAGCGGAGGGACAGGAAGATGCTCAGAGGGATGGAGCCCCTCTGCTGTGAGGACAGGCTGAGAGAGCTGGGGTTGTTCAGCCTGGAGAAGAGAAGGCTCCAGGGAGACCTTAGAGCCCCTTCCAATATCTGAAGGGAGCTCCAGGAGAGCTGGGGAGGGACTCTTTGTCAGGGAGTGCAGGGACAGGACAAGGGGGAAGGGTTTTAAATTGGAAGAGGGGAGATTGAGATGAGACACCAGAAAGAAATTCTTTGCTGTGAGGGTGGTGAGACACTGGAGCAGGTTGCCCAGAGAAGCTGTGGCTGCCCCATCCCTGGAGGGGTTCAAGGCCAGGCTGGATGGGGCTTGGAGGAACCTGGGCTGGTGGGAGGTGTCCCTGCCCAGGGCAGGGGAGTTGGAACTGGATGATCTTTAAGGTCCCTTCCAACTCTAACCATTACATGATTCTAAAGCTGCTTTGCTGCCTTCACAGGGCCCTGTGGAGCCCTTCCTTGCCCCGTGTTTCTGCTGCCAGTGGCACAGACATCCCAGGATAAGCCCTGCACAAAGACATGCTGGGGCTGAAAGCCTCCAGGTGATGCTCCAACAGCAAGAACAAGGAAAGGAGAGAATAAAGTAGCGCAGGATACTCCTCTCCTCCCATGATTGCATTTCATTTTCAATGGATAACCTAAAGCACAGAGGAGCTGCTGGCAACTCAGGGCTCTGTGGGGACAGCAATGGGTCTCTGGCTGCAGAGGTGTGAGGAAAAAGTGAGAGCTGCCAGGAAAGAGGGGCAATAGCAAGGGGGAGAGCCAGGCAGAGACAGCCTTGGGTCAAAACATACTGAGAATGAGGCGCAGAACACACGTGGAGGTCTGCAACCCAGGGGCCCAGGTCCTCCTCTGGGATGCAGCACGTCTGGGATGCTTTCCCTTCCTTCCCACCAGGGAAACTCAGCTTCTCTCCAGGGAGACCCAGGAACAGAAAGGCCAGGGCTGTGCACCCTTCCCTGAGGCCCACAGCGAGCGGGACTTGAGGAGAGGAGCTGAGCAGGAGCCTCTGTCCCTCTCAGCATGCTCCAGCTTCTGCAAGTGGTTCTTTGGGATTACCTCCAAAATTAGTGCCCTAAGTGAACCCACACAGTCAGGATCTGGTCTGCTCTGGCAGAGAATGGAGCCAAGCAACTTCAGAGTCCAAAACCATCGAGTTTGGTTTTTCTAAAAAAATCTTTTGCAAAGAAAGTGCTTTTTCAAATAGCCTTGTTTGGTGAGATAGCCGTGCACCTTGCACGGAGAAGCTGTGCAGTCTGGTGAGACTCCAGCTGTGTTTGTTTAAATCCACGTGCAGAACTTTACCCCGTGCTCAAAACAGTGTTTTCTGGTGCCCAGCCCCAAAATGAGCCTCGCTGTCGAGTCTGTTTCTCATGTGAAACGAGCCGCTTGCACAGCACGTTCCCCACAAGTGCTCGTGGGTCTAGGCCAGAACACCCCAAATGGAGCTGGGTACACATGGATTCTCTTTTAAAAGGCAGAAAAACCTAGTTTCCTTCCTGTTTGGCAGCAGGAATGGGAAGCAGCAGGTTGTGATGAGCCTGAGGGGCGCAGGGAGGAGAGGGGCTGTGGTGGGGTGTCCTCAGTAGGGCAGCAGAGCTGGAAACCCAGCAGTGGCCATGGCCACCCCACGCCTGCACCACACAGAGGGTGCTCACGGCAGCACAGCGTCCTTCAGTGGGGTCTGGGGAGATCTGGCGTGGCCTGATGAAGAAGGTTTTACCCCTCATCCACAATCACCCCACTGAGGAATCCTGTCAATGTCGCAAATATCCAGCGACTGAAGCCCTGACCCCCCGGTATCTCCTGCCCAAGCCCTGGAGGGGACAGCCAGCCCAGCTCCCTGGTGGGGACAGCCAGCCCAGCTCCCTGGTGCTACAGGCACCCACGTGTTTGCACGGGGAGCTCCAGCCTGGGCAGTGCCAGGCACTGGTGCAGGATCAAGCCCCCAGGAGAACCCACCGACCGCAAAGCCCCCGGGGCTTACCCAGCAGAGCCTGGAAGAGTTCACTTTGAAAGATGTGCGAGACTTTTCCAATGGAGGCTTTCAGCTCCTGCTCCTCCGGGGACTGCAGGGTGCTCTGGTATCTGCTTAGAATTTCCACCGCCCGTTCAGTGTCTGCAGGGACAACACAGGAGGCATTAACACCGAGGGATGGAGAGACATCTTCAGGGAAGGCTGGAGAGCAGTCTTGGAGCAGCGCAAAGGGATCACCTGGATAATGCTTCAAGTTTCCTTCCAGCTCTGGATTTTTAAAGAGTCAGCCAGCCACAAAAGTACACCTGGAAGAACGAACCCTGCCATGAGGTGCAGAGGGGCCACAGAAGAGAGCCAGGCAGGAGCTGGGGGGGAAGTGGTTCTGCCTGTTGGCCCTCCTCAACCTTGAAAATCAGGGGCTAAACCCAGGTTGACTCGCTGCCAAACCCCACGGCAGCCCAAGAACCTCTGCCACCTCCCAGGCCGTGATGCCATCCAGGAGCTGGCCATGTCCCAGTTGCACGGGGCTGTGAGTACCAGTGCAGGAGCTGCAGTCTCCCATGCGGGGCAGCTGCTGGAGCCCCACTCGTGTAGTGTGGGATATCGCAGACAGCTCAGCTACACCAGTGGCAAAATGTAGGTTTCTACAGGGTGAAGCGTAGGAATTGCTCCCCGCAGCAAGCAGGAGACACGGGGGGAAAGGAACACGATGCCCTGGGGTGAGGGAAGGAGGGCTGCCCACCAGGGGAGGGCTGGAGGCCCTCAGGAAGCAAGGATTTGGTTAAAGAGTGGGCTCACCACAGCTGGGAGACAACCTTGGACCTGGAGTAGTGGAGCTGTGATCTCTCTGTGCTTCTCCGGGCAGACACCCGGACCTGCCAGTCCAGCCCCAGCCCCAGATGGGACCCATCTCCCGGGCGGGTGGGGAGTGCCCGTGGACCTTGAGCCTGTCCCAGCCCTACCGTTGAGTATTCCCCTTTGTCACCCAGATGGCCTGCAGACAAAGAGCGTCTGTGTGAGGAGGGTGAGGGAGCCGTCCCACCGCTGGTGGGGACGCATCTTTTAACCCAGGAACTCATGC